TATCAGCCGCTTGAGAACCAGGACTAGCCGATCACAGACCCGCCTTAATCAAATGGAGCTACAAAAGTGGTTCAGTTGCATGTAGTTGTGGAGAGGCAGAGTTGTATCACATCCTGTTGTGCCAGAGATTTCTACCTGCCTAGATTCAAAGATGGCATTGACGCAGTAAACAGGACGGTATTGGGCTGATACCAGCTAATTTTGGGTTTGTTATAGTTCAATACAGTTTAAACGTTACAAGACAAGAAGCGGGCTAATGCTGACTCGATTGCTCCAAAAAGATTCCGTGTTGACGGTCACCACAGAGTCGGCATTGGTCCAGTACTCGCCCTATTAAGTGGCAAACGGTAATGGTAACACCGTTTAGAGCCTGCATTGGACCAGTGCTGGTCTTTTTAAGGCAAACAACAGCAAGACGGCACACAGCCTGAACCGGGTTATTGCAGGTCGTCTTACAATAAACCATGATGAAAAGACGGTAAAAGGCCTGAATCGGGCCAGTGTTGGTCCCTATATTGGAAACCATAATGGCAAGACGGCACACAACCTGAATGGGACCGGTGCCGGCCCTTTCAAGCCAAACCATAATGGCAAAAAGGTATATAGCCTGAATCGGGCCAGTGTTGGTCCTTTTACGGCAAAGCATACTCACAGGGTTTCTCAAAGCAGCATAACGGCGGCCACCGGAGGGCGCCATATTACCCAAGAGGTTGAGGCTACAAGAAACCAGTGATCTAGTGACACCACAACAGTTGGTTAGTAAGTTACATCACCTGTTGCTGGATATTGCAACAGTTTATCCCTGCTTGGGAAAACGTAATGGGTATTAGATACAGTTGCACATTGCCATATTGAATTTGATTGTACCCCGGTCCAGGCAATTGAACCAAAGCCTATTCAATACTCTGACTCAGAGGCACAACTGATGACAAAGAAATTCAAAAATTACAAGGAATAGGAGCAATTATCAGTGTCATCCACTTTCACAGACAATTTCTGTCCAACATTGTTTACGACTAAAGCGTAGATCTGGACACAAGGAATATGAACATAACAACGCATATTGAAGAGACAGGGTACCACGCATAAGTTAAAATACGGCACTTGAACACAAAAGATTCTGGAAATATCACCCAAAGAAAAGTCACAATATCGGAGCATTTTAACTGTTTATTTCGTTAAAAAGGTATTTATTTATGTTTGCAATTTTGCAGAGAGAAAGAAACGATTCACAAAAAAAAGTTAACACCGGTGATAAGTTACAATCTTACTTATTAAGTCCCAGGCTTCCAAAACATTTGTTTGTGTTAGTGGTGGCTATTTTTCAAACAACTACTGCAGCTCAAACTGATTTCCATCCACAGTGACACTTTATTAATAATAATAATAATGGATATTTATAAAGTGCACGTATCCACCAGGACTGGTGCTCAAGGCGCTACATCATTATTACCCCTGCTCACTGGGCACATGAAACATTCCAAATACCATCTCAGCTCCCTGGGGAGTATACAGCTCGATGCAGTCTGTTAGGCGCAAGGAAGCTAATTCAATCACAATAACCAACTCTGCCCTCACAGGTACCCATTTACTCCTGGGTGGAGAGAAGCAATGAGTGACACAGTGCCTTGCTCAATGGTACACGCACCATGACCCCCCCAGGACTCGAACCCACAACCTGCAGCTTTACCTGCAGACCGCGAATCAGTGCCCTTAACCCTGAGGCCACAGCAATCCACCGGTTATTACAAGTTCTTTCAACCATTGTACCTCCATGTTCCAACCATACACTTAAAGGGAAGATACAACATTTGCAAACATCAAATAATCACGAAATACCTCACTAGATTGTTAGGGAATGACAGGAACTAGCATACAAGAACATGATTGGTTTTCATGGTTTTTCCTGCATATACAAACTAGAACGGCGAAGCCACCATGAATCGCTGTCAAAGGCAGGAAGGGAGGCTGAAGGTGGGGTTGGGATGGGCATGATGGAAGGGGATCAGGATTCTCGTTGATGTTCCAGGGTGTAGGGGTCAGTTTTTAAATGTCAACATAAAAAGTCAACAGATGACCTAATAAGTACATGTGTACATGTATATAGGTTAGCCATCACTGTATTATGGGGAAGCTTTCCATTGTTAGGGTAATTAGGACCCAGTTGTGGAGCCTTTTTGCAGCCCCCCCCCCCCCCCCCCAGTGTCTTCAGGTCCCCATACTTGTATTACCATGGGAAAACTCTTGTGTAGTCGCCACAAATGCGCAACAAGAATGGGTATACATGTACATGAAGACACAGCACCATCACCACCTCCCCCAAACCTTACCCCATCCCCGCCCCGCCCCACCACCACCTACCCACACCATCCCATCTCCCCTACCCATCCCCACCCTATCACCTACACATCCCAACCCCACCCAAACTCCAATCCCTATCTCATTCCCCCTCCCCTGACCCGTACCCTCCCCTACCCCAACTCCCTACACCCACCTACCCTATCTTCTCCCATCTGTCCTTACCCACCTTACACATCCCCACCCTAACCCCTACTTGAATCCCAATATCCCGCCCACCCCATTCCCCCAACCCATACATCCCCACCCGACCCCATGCAACCCCTACTCCAATCCCTATATACTGCCCCCTCCCCCTTATCCAACTTCTACACCCACCTACCCATCCCTATCCACCCCTACACATCCCCAACCCAACCCCTACTCAAATCCCTATATCCTTCCCACTCCCTGACCCCCTCCTAACCCAACCCCTACACCCATGCCCATCCTCCCCCTACCTGTCTCTCCCTACCTGTCCCCATCCCACCCCTACAAATCCCCATCCCACCCAATACAGCACCCACCCCACCCCCACCCCCACTCTCCCCTACCCCATCCCTACTCCAACCCCATAAACTAAAAGATCAAACCAGACGCTCATGCACATCCCCAAAATGCATAGTGTACATGTTATACCGGTATACATACATGTATATGTTATACAAGTGTACATGTATATGTAACAATTAAAAACTTCAACATTTCCTTGAATTAAATTTCCTCAATAAAATCATAAAATTTACTGCAATGATATGAACCTAATTGAAGTTATAGAGATGATACATGAAAACTGTATTTAATTTTGTCCCCAAGTTAGCTAGAACCAAAAACTTCAACATTTTTATCTGAACGTGGACGGCCGGACTCACTGACGGACGGACGGACACTCCATATGGCCTGACGGACAGTCGGACAGAAATTGGTATTACATAGGCTCGCATCTGCTTCACAGCTCGCCAAAAATTATAACTTAGAAAATTTAAGAGTGCCCATCTCCCATTTAACATTTTTGCTGACATCATTAACTAACATTTGGAGAAAAAAAATCACGAAATTTAAAGCATATTGATTTTTGTAATTCAAGGTCAAAGGTCATTTTGTCATGCATTTACTGTGCGCTTCATGCTACATTTTGGTTTTATTTTATGAAATGAAGGCCATTCAAAGAGCTTTAATATGATGTACAACAAAATTTCAGTTCTAGAGGTTCTCATTTTGGCCAATAATCATACCAAATATCGTTTCAATCTGTGAGGGTCGGGTCCAAAATCATGTCGAATTGACATGGAATGACCCTCATGTATTATCATGTTGATTCCCGCAAAATTCAAGTTCCGGTCTCTCAACAGAATCGTCATTCTGGACTCGTGAATGCTAATTGTTTTTAATGAAACATGAACTGCTTGAATAAAATAAACCACCCAAGACCTACAGATATGAAGTTTATTGAAATATTAGTTTACATGACCATAAAAAGAAAATTCATTTGTTAGTAATTTAAAAAAATGGTTTCCTGTTACCTGATTCCGTAATCTGGAACCAGTTCCTGACATCAAACGTCAGGTACTCGGGTACCTGGTTCAGATGCACAGGCCTAAAGTAAGCTACTGTGACCACTGTGACACGACGCAATGCAATCATTTTAGTGTGAAAAAAAGTTTCTTTATCTGTCCCAGCCTCTTTGATATGGTGCATACATCCTCTTGGCATTTGTGAAAATTCTCCAGTTCTCATGTGCCTTCTCTAACATTTACAGTGAAACATCCCACAAAATTGGTCAAATCTACCGTGATTTTGAGGGCTGAATGGATGAGAAATGTTGCTGTTGCAACGGTCGGTTTTGTACGTTGTACAGCGATTGTGTAGTTATGGGTCTTTAACCTTTAGTTGCATCTGAAACTTCCTTTTCCTGTTTATTGAACTCCACCACGCTAAGTTACTGATGTTTAAAACCAAAAGTAATGTTGTAGATAGAGGGAAGCGTTCCGATGTTTTTAGTGCAAGTTTGGGGTAAAACTAAAACAATGATGAAGACGACCAAATGCAACACAAGATACAGGATGGCGATCATCACGACGGACCATAAAATGCCTGAAGCCATGTTGATATGCATCGCACGTACTGAAAAATGCATAAGTAATTCACAATTTCTACCAAAAGACACTGTTCAAAATTACAACAAATGGGTCATTTGAATCAGAAGAAGAGTACAGAAATCAGATTTTATATTGATTTTATCAGAAGGGTGCAGAAATCAGATTGGAATTACAAAACACCTGAAGGACTAAAACCGAGGAGGCCCATAACTCGCTCCTTGGACTATACACAATGAGACACCATGACATGAGTTCAACATGACAGGAAATGCTTCATTGTTTGCAAAAGCATTTTCCAGGATGGTCGCGGTAGTTTTACAGCATGGGCTGTTAATGTACCGTGGCTGCACAGAAATCTTCTTCAACAACTTTTAGAGTGGTAGTTTTGCATTGCAGTCACGGTAAACTGTTTACCTGCTGTCCCCATTGGACTTCACTTTGTGACTGACTCTACATCGCAGTAGGTTAATAAAATGAAGTCCAGTGGGAACATGGCTTTTGTTAGAAATTGTATAAGACGTTCCAAAAACTATGTTGGAATTGCTAAGAGAGTGAAATACATACCTCTAGATCTGTTCCTGCAAGTATTGCTCCTCTGAGGTTAGAATTCTTCAGGTTAGCATTCTTCAAAGTTGCAACTCTAAGGTTCACCCCAGCCATCTGACTGTTTTCTAAATTAACACCTTTCATATTGACACCTATAGAAAGCCAGGGTAAATTAATTTTAGTACATTAGATTGCTAGTGTTGGCACCAGTTTTTGTCATTCTTGGTCTTGACACTCTATGGCCTTGATCTCAGTCCCAGAAAATTTTGTTAGGATATTTTGTTAGGATTAAGACCAAGGCCAAGTATGCAAGCAAGTTATAACACTCTATTATTATCAGACTGATATAAAGCACAAAACACACAGTGAATTTGTTTGTATGTAACCTGCCTGTGCCACAGCTCTTTATTATAGACATAGCCTTGCAAGATATCATGGGCAAACTGGCAAAGAAAAAAACAAAACAATATAGTTGGACACACCAGACCCCTGAATTGACCAGACCCAGCCATGAATAAGACACACCAGGCCCACCAAATATAGGTCACCATACCCCTGATAATTGGGGGACATCAAACCCTTGTACATAGGGCACCAGACCAAGCCATGAATAGGGTACACCAGGCAACTATATATATGTTGTACCAGACTATGATGAAGAGGTCGCACTAAACCATTTACATAATGGCTGACACCATAACTAGCCATAACATGTACCAAAAAATGGCAACACCAGGCCACACAATATGGCAAAAAACACGGATTAAGAAATTTTGAATACAACTATCAACAATTGAACCAATACTTATGTTTGTGGACAAACACAGGGCTGTTTTGGCAACTTTTTTGTGACATGTGACTTGTAAAGTTTCAAGTATATGTTCCATCCAGGAAGGATGTGTAGTTCTGTATATAATATATGGTGGCATATCATGTGATTACATTCTCATATGGCTTTGAATTATGATGTCACATGTCACGTGATGACGTCATAATGACGTCACATCAATTTTCATCTATAACAATAATTTTTTTGTAAAGAACAACTTAGCCAGAGCACACATTGTTGAAAGCAAGTTCACACCTTTCACCAATTTAAAATTACAAGGGACTTCTGGTTTCAACTGGAAGGGTCACGTGACTTTGCACATAATATCAAAAATGAAGACCCTGGATTATTCCATCAATTGCCGCCAAAGTCATGTTCAGGTCTCTCACGGTTGATTTTATATTGATTTTCAAAGATTAATTCCATTAATATTTAACGTGATGTCATGTGCCCCAGGATGACGTCATCGTGACATCACTTCATTTTTCATCAATAACACATCCTGGTCTAGGAGCACACCAACTTTGAACAAAATCAGACCTGTAGTTCTGTAGATATAGACCTTGCACATCAAATGTGACGTCATGTGAAATGTGATGACGTCATAATGACGTAAATGTTTGGGGCACAACTGCAGGTGCTGGTCTAAGTGTGTGCCAACTATAAAGGCAATCGGATTGTTTTTAGTGGCCAAAGTGTTCTGGACAAAAAAAAAAAAAAACATGTACAAATGCTATTGGCAAAATGACAGGAAAAAAAAAATATTTTTTTGCGTTTGTTGTTACAAACACAAAGTGGTCGGGCAGGCAATTTTTTTTATGAAACACTACCGAGTTAAGTTATGAATATGTTGATGTAACAACAAAGAATCATGAAATTAAATCCTTTTCATCGCAATAAATTATTTTGTTTAAAAATGCATCTTTAACGGTGTGATAAATATCCTTAAACATTTTATGTATACATAGTTATTTCTGGCTCGCTGACGTCATTATTACAAATCGGGAAGTGAATACTGATTTAGTTTGGAGTGGATAAATGTTTATTGTGAAGTTAAATAACGTATGGCAATATGGAAAATATAATTGTATGCATTTATACCATCTAACTTCCGGTTTCATGGCATTTGGAAGCAAAAGATAACATTGTTATGGATATCGTTGGGCTACGAAGATATACGACATGGATCAAATGATAGAAAATGATCATTTTCATTTTCTGGTCTCATGATGTCATGAATTTGAAACCTTGCCAAGTCATCTGTGGTTAATCAAAGAATATCAAGGAGCGATTAGGTAAAATTAGAACCGATGGTCTTCAGATTAAAGAAAACAAACACCATTTTATGTGCCGCTAGGGGGCGCCCTTTTGGATGATGAAGTCATCACACTGTTATTTTGTGACTTGCATTTCTCACTAAACACTTGCATGATATATTTGTCTGTAGTAAAATGCATCCGCTTTTGAGTTATATCCAGTTTTTATTGCACTTCCGGTAACACCGGAAGAAACGGTAAAGCGGTTTTGTGTCCGGGAACAAGAAATGTTACTCACGGCAAAGTCTACAACCTCACGAAAAAAACGAACACGATAATCTATTTAGTTCAAAAGATATAGCGTAAACTAGTTTGTCAAAATTTGCCCTTAAATGGATTGTAATTTGATTCCCGATGATGTCATGCTGACGTAACAAAACGTATAACATCTTCGTAACATGGTAAAAGTTCAAACAAGGTTTTGTGATTCTACCTTAAACCATTCGGAAGAAATGTTGCTTTGTTTTGATTTCAGGCTAACGTCTTCAATTTGAATTTATCTCACTTTGACCTTCCAGTAGAACCGGAAGTAAAGGTCAAGCGAGTTTACGTACATGACAAAAAATGTTGAGCAATTAATGGTCTATCTGATTACAGAATACAAATATCTTTGATTATTTAGTTCAAGAGTTATAAGTGACAGTCATTGGTCACTTTCCGCCTAAAATCACTTGTAATTTGACACCTGATGACGTAATCATGACGTCAGAGTAATATGCACCACTTCGGATGAGGGTCGATATATATATATTGAAAGTTACAAGTTCATACCATACACTGTTTAGGAGAAAACCCGCAGAGAAGTATTGTCCGGAAAAAAAAACAAAGAACTAGACTAGAGATTCGCGTTTGTTGTTTACAAATGCAGAGTGGTCGGGTAGACAACTATTTTATGAAACACTGTCCAGTTAAGTTATGAATATTTTTATATAAGAATAAAGGATCACGAAATTAAATCATTTCCAGGACAACAAATTATTATTTTGTTTAAAAAATGCATCTTTAACGGTGTGATAATTTTGAGGGGGCGCCCTTATGGATGATGATGACGTCATCAAACTGTTTTTGTGTCTGGCATTCCTCACTAAACACTTTCATAATATATATATTGTGTCTGGGAACACAAAATGTTTCTCACGGCATAGTCTACAACCTCACACAAAAAATGAACACGATACTCTATTTAGTTCAAAAGATATAACGCAAACTATTTTGTCAAAATTTGCCATTAAATCACTTGTAATTTGATACCCGATGACGTCATGCTGACGTAACAAAATTTATAACATCTTTGTAACATGGTACAAACTCATGCAAGGATTTGTGATCATACTGTGAAGCGCTCGGAAGAAATGTTGCTTTGTTTTGATGTCAGGCTAACGTCTTCATTTTGAATTCACCTAACTTTGACCTTCCAGTAGACCCGGAAGTAAAGGTCAAGCGAGTTTACGTTTTTGGATTTGTTGCAATTAATCTTTCTTTCTTTCTTTTTTTTTCTGGATAATACTTTTCTGCAGGTTTAATTCTTAGAGGGTTTAATTCTTAGAGGGTTTTTAATCATGACGTCAGAGTAATATGCAACACTTCGGATGAGGGTCGATTTATTTTGAAAGTTACAAGTTCATACCATATACCGTTTAAGAGATAACCTGCAGAAAAGTATTGTCCAGAAAAAAAAGAAGAAAAAAGAAAGAAAGAAAGATTAATCGCAACAAATCCAAAGAGTGGTAAGGTTGTGCCCGACCGCTCAATTATTAAGTCATAATTATGAGTTATATCTCATAATTATGACTTATTATTAAGTCATAAATATAACTTATATCTCATCATTATGACTTAATAATAAGTCATAATTTTTAGATATAAGTCATAATTATGACTTAATAATAAGTCATAATTATTAGATATAAGTCATAATTAAGACTTAGTTCTTTTTTTTTAGTTTGTATTATGTCCCTTTAACGCTTCCGTACTTCTGCACAAAGGATACAATGACCCAAGAATTTCATACCAGATATGAAAAGACCAATGTCTGAACTAACCATAGCCAAAGGTAAATTATTCTGAGTGCCCTGGCAAGTGGCATTTTGGAGGGTTAAAAATGGGGTGCAAGTTGACTAGTTGTAAAAACATGATGTATTGTAGGCCTAAAAATAATTTTGGCTTGATGACCTTTGAAAATAATTCAAGAAAATGAATTTTTGAAGCCTCAGATATATCGGTTTAAGAAGTTAAGTTTAAGTTTGGACTTTTATATGAAGTATTTACATGAAATGACTCTCAAGACACCATTTTTCTGTTTAATTCTTAGAGGGTTTTTAAGGTGCAACACCAAGCAATCTTCTTTAAGCTTAGCCCAGTTTTTGCAATTGAATTGTTAAAAACATCATTTTGAATGAGACAAATACCCTTTTTAATTTGACGTTAACTAAGGAGGGGCTTGTAACACTAAACTTGGGTCCACTCAGTAGATGCGCTAGTCCTACTCCTAAATCTTCAATACAATTAACATCGCGTCACCGTAAACCCATTAACATGGCGTCACCGTAGACCCATTTACATGGCGTCACCATAGATCCATTAACATGGCGTCACCGTAGACCCATTTACATGGCGTCACCGTAGACCCATTAACATGGCGTCACCGTAGACCCATTTACATGGCGTCACCACAGACCCATTAACATGGCGTCACCGTAGACCCGTTAACATGGCGTCACCGTAGACTCATTAACATGCATACCTGCCAACATTGAAAAGTCAGAAAGAGGAACAGGGTGCCTACGCATCACACACGGTGAGCGGCGCAGGCGCGCGCGCGCGCTATAATGGGTTGGTTCCAGGGGCAATCATACAAAGTACATGTACATGTACATGTGCCTAAAATGTTACATGATATCCAGAAGCAGACCCAACAGACACTAATCTTATTTAGTGGATAATTTTCTGAATTTTCCAGCCGGTTTTTGCTAATCAAAAATTTTTACAATTTAAGAATAAATGACTTACATGCTTCACAGTTTAATCACATGTAGATATTCAGTCACAGTAATACATTTTACGTACACTGTACAACTACAAGCAGTGACAGGAACAATTTTATTTGGAAAAGTTCGTACATCATCTGATCATTGTACCATGTGTACGGTGTTTATAGGCCTGTTACAAATACAATACACATTTCTAAATTTTTCACGATATTCCTCTCGGAATTTTTAACTCCATCGCTGCTTTTTCTCCTTCAGTGTATCATCCTCCTGGTCCATGTTGCAGTTGAGATGCTCATACAAAAACGTTGACAAAAAAAGTGCGACTCAGCACGATCAAAATATCAACGAAAAACCACCAAAGACTATGAAGAAACAACGTGTGTGGAAAACAAACATAGCATCAATACGTCCACCACGCCGTGCCTGGCGCAGCCCGCGCTTAATTCAGTAAGCACGCAAGAGACGCAGTACACCAGACGGATGACGTAGCGGGTCTCAGTATTGGCTGCGGCTAGGTTGTGGCTGATCGCACAAGCCTGTGCGCGCGTACGGCTGCAGCCGAAGCCTATTCGGACATGGCCTGTTTGATGACGTTTGAGTCTGGTTTACATCCCTTTCGTCGTACATAAGAGCGAGGCGGATTTTATACCATTATGGTAGCGGCAATAGCCCCCTCAATACAATAAAACATTTTTCTCGGACAAGTGTGCGACGGCGCCGGGGCATTTTTAAAATTTTTTTAAAATTTTTTGTATTATTTCTTCTCTCGCAACTCGGAAAATCGGGACGTTCCGATTTTTGGGCACTTTTTATCTCCAAAATCGGAACAGTTCCGCCTAACTCGGAACAGTTGGCAGGTATGAACATGGCGTCACCGTAGACCCATCAACATGGCGTCACCGTAGACCAATTAACCTGGCGTCACCGTAGACCCATCAACATGGCGTCACCGTAGACCCATTAACATGGCGTCACCATAGACCCACTAACCTGGCGTCACTGTAGACCCATTAACATGGCGTCACCGTAGACCCATTATCATGGCGTCACCGTAGACCCATTAACATGGTGTCACCGTAGACCCATTAACATGGCGTCACCGTAGACCCGTTCACATGGCGTCACCGTAGACCCATTAACCTGGCATCACTGTAGACCCATTAACCTGGCGTCACTGTAGACCCATTAACATGGCGTCACCGTAGACCCATTAACATGGCGTCACCGTAGACCCATTCACATGGCGTCACCGTGGACCCGTTAACATGGCGTCACCGTAGACCCATTAACATGGCGTCACCATAGACCCATTAACATGGCGTCACCGTAGATCCATTCACATGGCGTCACCGTAGACCTGTTAACATGGCTTCACCGTAGACCCATTAACATGGCGTCACCGTAGACCCCTCAAGTCACTTTGGATTTGAAAAATTTGGAATTATAAAATGTATTATATATATATAAATTCCCCTCCCGTCTGATCTTTTTTTTAATCTGAGTGACGAAAACCTAAAATCAATTTTAAATGGCCTACTCAAGGCTTGATTTGACACTTACCTTCCATATTGGCTTTTCTTCCATGAGGGTCCTCAAAATTACATCCAATTAATGTAGCACCTTCTAGATTGGCAAGTACCATCCGGACACCTTGCAGGTTAGCACCCTAAAGTTGGCATGTAGAATAGGGATTGTCTGATAAATTGTCTGATAAATTACTACATAATATTGAAAGTGGAGTTTTGTTTTTAATAATATCTGCAACTGATATTCAGACTCTGACCTATCAATCAACACTTAACACGTGACATGGCTTCCAGCGGCGGCGGAACAGGTTTGAAACTGGGGGGGCATCACCAAAAAGGGGCACTTGCAAATCCGTGCTGAAATGTCGACACGTTTTTTTCACCGGACACTTGGCCTCCGTAAAATCAAATAGTGCAGGGGGGGGGGGGGGGGGGGGCTGGTACCATCTTCCAACATAGGGGGGCGCTCTTCAAAACCAATGATTATATGCTAAATATGCATTATGTGCCCATTTTCAGGCTGTATGGGTTTTGGGGCTTGGTTTTCATATTGCATTTATATCACAAATATCTATATCCTTTTTGGAGATATGGTTACTTCTAAGAAATAGTAAGATACTTTAAGGGCTTTTTTTTGTATCTTGAGGGGACACTTTACTGTTCGAGGGGGCACATTTATGGCCGCAAAAGGGGCACTTGGGAAAATCTGGGGGGGGGGGGGAAATGCCCCCCAGCCCCCCCCCCCCCCAGCCCCCCCCCCCTCCAGTTCCGCCGCCCCTGATGGCTTCTATAGCTTCCATAAGTCATTGATCAACATTACAAAATATTCTGTTTAGATTAATAACATTCATTCACCGCATTAAAGGGGTATAAGAAAATATTGGCGTAAAGAATGCAGTTAATTCATTCCAACCAACTGAGCTGAACAACATGACTTACATCCATCTTTGCACCCGCCATATTTGTTCGTTCTAGACAACAACATGACATATTAGCACCGGACAAATCTGCCTTGCTGAGATTTGCTAGTTTAAGATTGATGTATCTGAGATCAAGATTAGACAAGTCTGCACCTTCGAAATTCATCCCCTGCAAATTAGGAGAACACAATAAATAGAATTACAATCTTAAAAATCTAAAAATGAAACTAGAAATGTATTTGTTGATAAACACCAGCTGTTTTTAGTCTAGTAGGAAGATAGGGTTCCCATGCAATCCTCAATTTTTTGCAATCCTTTTTTGTATATGTATAAATCCAGGATGGCCGACAAGATGGCCACCAAATTATAAAAATAACATTTCCAATCGATTCCTCACACCCAAGTAACCCTGTAAAACATTTTAATTTGTCTTTCTATGATGCCTGGTTCAAAACTTATGTCGACAACCGATTTTTGTCGAAATCCAAGATGGCCGCCAAATGAACCCCATGGGACAATATTTGATCTCGGGAACATCAAAATTCGTTCACTAGACACCATAAGGATTACAAAAAAAAGTAAGGAAGAAAAAATATATCCAGGGGGTGCATGGGAACCCTTCCTCCCCAACTATTTGTCTATTTGAATTCACTCTGTGACATGATGAATACATGCTGACATCACTTCAAATTTCATCTATATCACATCCAGATTTACGTTCATATCAAGTGATAACCAAATTGGACCTATAGTAGTCTTTAAATATAGAACTCAGAAAAATGCACCTTTGACATGAGGTCACTTGCATTTTTATTGATAATACATCAGGCGGATGTATGGTTCTGTACATAGACATTTGAAAATCACCCTTAACGTGACGTCACATGACATGTGATGATGCCATGATGACATCACTTGATTTTTTTTCTGTAGCGCATCCCGGTATAGGTATATATCAACTAACAACTAAAACTGATCTATGCTTCTTGAGGTATAGGTCTTAGAAAAAAATACCCCTTTAATTTGACATCACATGACGTGATTAAGTCATGACGATGTCACTTCAATTTTCATCTGTAACATATCCCCGTCTATGTGCATACCAATTTTCAACCCAATTGGACTGGTGCTTCCAAAGTGATAGTGATTAAAAAATTGCACCTTTGATATGACATCATGTTATGCATAATGCTTCATCCCGACAAAAATCACAGTGGTCTACTTGTCTGCTATGTCTTAAGTCAATCAGACATACATTGTAGGAAAGTACCAAATTATATGGGTTGAGGAAAAACGTATGGAGAAAACAATACACCTTTAATGTGACGTAACTCAACACCTGATAAAGTCATCCATCCATCCATCCATCTGTTTATAGTCCTTAAGTCCCTAAACTGGAGGGTTGGACTCCATGATGATCATGTCCTTTTGGTCAGACAGCTTTCATCCACTCCACTCAGTTCAATGCGCTTTGGTGTTAATTTTCTCAGGTACGTTCTGTGGCCTTTTTTGTATCACTGTCTATTATTAGTTTGTTGAGGTTGAATAACTAATAATAATAAAATAATAACAATAATAATCAACAAAAATACATTAACTTTTTACCTGACATCTGAGCTCACAGTTAGCCCCTCTCCCTTGAAGCATCAACACAAATTCCCTTCTTGTAATTGCTGTATGGTCTCCTGGTTTTTCATTCTGTTTAATCATTTCCTCTAAAGGTTTATACAGTGATGTGATACCAAAAAATATCGCTTCTTCAAAGACACCAGCTGGATTAAGTCCTTTGTCAAGAATAAGTTGTCCGTGTCGAAGATAATTGAGAACAGGTTCAAAGTATGACGGACTTCTGTCGATCAAGTAAGCACCTGAATGGTCAACTGAACTATGCCAAGGTAAGCCAAATTCTGAAACAAAATCAAGAAAACATCTAAATCATTATACTGCCACTTAAATCAGAATTCTACAATGTTTTTTTTTCTCTAAAATGCAGTGGAAGGGTAACAAATTTCAAACAAAAACCGACCTAAAGAATGACCAGGCACCAGAATATTTCCTACCTAATTTGCATGTGAAGATTTTTAACATGCAAATGATCAAGGAGCAGGTAGTCTGAGCATATGCTTCAGACCATGGGAATGAGGTTTCCTGCCAGCGGCGTAGCTGGGAGGGGGGGGGGGGGGCACACCCCCAGTACCGGAGAAAGGCATAGTCCTATAACTTACCATGATTAGCAGGTTTAACATGAAGTGCCTTTTTGTTTACACATTTTCTGTTGTTTCCCAAAAACCCTGTTTTCATGATCGGCTGTATATTTTAAAGTCCTGTCGAAATAGAATAGCGCCACCTGTTGTCTTATTGTCTAACCTTGACCATGATTGCGGTTTGAACAGCGGCCCCGTGAAAAGATGGTGTCTCCCCCTTTTTTCATTTTATGGAAACTGGGTTGCATTGGAAAAAACCTGATAACCTTTCAACGCGGATAACATTGGGTGGCCCCGGTTAACATCCAGTGGCCCTCTCCCCCCCCCCCCCCCCCCCCGCCCCATACATAAAACATACAACGTCTGATCATTATCAAACTTGGCGGAAGTGTTGTATATATGCTCTGAATGCTAAATAGAAACTGACGTCACATGGGTGTAGCCGGGGGGGTGGGGGGGGGGGGGGGTATTTATCCCTTTTTCCATTCAAATGCTCTTTTTTTTTCAACAGCGCTTACCCCCCAGTATTTGTAAAGAGTGCCCTTCTTTTCTGAACAAGTGCCTTTTTTGTGTGAAATGCCCTTTTTTCTGAGGAAGTGGCCTTTTTTTCCTGAAAAAGTGGCCCTTTTAAATTTCATCTTGACTTCTCCAAGAAGACCCTCATGTAGCTCCTCTAGGACTTGTGCACACAGTTTGGCAGGGATTATTTGCACCGCTGTGAACGTAGAGGGCAGAAGAGCATAATCAGAATGAATCGGGTTGCCTTCGAGAGCGGATGTCTATTGCGTTTGCTCTGGTTCATGCTCGCATGCCAGCTGCCCATCCGGACCCGCTTTATGGAGCTACCGTGCCCACAGGCCAGGCACCAGATTCGAGATGAAGGATTCTGTGTCAATTAATATGCAGGGGTGTTCGGTTCAGTTGTTTTAGTGGGACGTAAGGAGGGGTCTGAGGAGATACCCAAACCCTCTTAGCGACTGTTAAAAAGTGTTATGTCATACTCGACATTGGATCATGGAGAGATGGAATAAAGCACGAAGCCATGTCATTTTCCATCTGTGTTTGGTATTTTCCATGATTTGGCTGTAAGTGTTTCAGCAGCGACATAATGCTGGCTGTGTTCGAATTTAACTTATCTCACAAGTGACATACATGTATATAGCAGTTGTAGCATGGGCAGTGCCATTGCAGTGGGGCATGCGAGCGGTCGTCATTTGTGTCGTGCAAAGGCATTGTGCTTTACACAGAGCGTGTGCGTTTTCGAACTGGCGTTTAGTACTCACGTGTGATGTCAGAATGTGAGCTATGTAGCCCTGAGTGGGCCGTCTCGTCTTCAAACAAGATGTCAGGGAGAACAGGGTCCAAAGATATGTTTTAATAATCACATTCTTAGGACTTTGCTTTATAGCAAACAGATAAGTGGGGTCCGGTCTATAGCATGAGAGGGCTATTAAACTGTAATGTGAGTATTTGCCTCAGGGAAAAGTAAGACATGTTGTTTTGGAGGGGAACAAAAAAATAAAAACAAAAAATAGCATATAGCCTCCAGCAACTGGGAAAACAATAGTGATGTGTGCGACTAATGCAGATTATGCTGATGTTCCCAGAATGCCACCTACAGCAGCTATTTTAATATTCATTCATAAATACCTCAGACAGTTTAGCTATTCCTATTGGTCGAGAGCCCGTCACGTGGCCGGTCTTAAACGGATGATAAAGACATGGCTAGCTGGTCTTAAACACTTTTTCGGTGTCACAATAAGATGTGGACTCCTAAAAATCCAGTGCCTCTTACCGTTTCATTGGTTGAACGTTCACAATCCTCATGTAGGCATGCGCAACACTACAAGCGAGACAGAATTTTAAAGTTCTAAATTCAAAATGCAACGCCCCAGGTGCGTTCTGCGTGACATCGCGCAGAACATGCTATCTCCATAAAAGGGTTGTTTACATCTTACTCGCCAGCTGAACACTCCATTATTTTGCTAGAGGGATGTTTCAAAAAGCATAAAGTGAACTTGTTGAACAAAATCGGGATTTTTTGAACGAATTATTTGACATTTTTTTACGGATAAGGTATTTATGAATGGGAATAAATATGTGCTCGGTCGGTATTTATCACTCTGTTTAATACCGCTTAGAGTCTGGGTGCTGATAATTACCCTCGCCTCCGGCTCGGGTAATTATCAGCACCCAGACTCTAAGCTGTATTAAACGAGTGATAAAAACCTCCGGAGCACACATTTATTCCCTTAGTAATGTACTGGTTGAATATTAGATATTGCACAGACGCATAATATTATTGATCGTAGTTGTGGCTGAGGCGTGGCACTTGGGTATGCTTGTGTACTGCGAGACAGGCATGGCACATCCATTGACAGTCTAGTGACAAATAACTTATTTTGGTCAGTTGATTTATGAATGCAATGGTTTTTGTTCCTAATAAATTTGTGGAGGCAAAGAGGCATAAATTGTTGGTAGTTATGGCATAATAAATTTGGAGAGGCATTTGGAGAGGCATAATTGTAAGTACAATATAATTATGTACATGTATTGCGCGGCCAGCTAGCGTTAACAGTGGTACGATATACAGATCGCCTGCTGTATATACAGATCGCCTGCTGTACGTCCATGTACATGTACATGTACCTGTAGTGTACATTGTGCACGTACGTACGTACGTGCACAATGTACAGATTAAATGTGTGCATGGTACTGGTACAATAAGGGAACCCCCAAAATGAACAGCGTGCACGCGTGCAGTCGAGAGGGGGTACTGGTATTGATGATACGGAATGGACATGTACTTCGTGAAAGCGAACGATGCACACAATGTACAGACTGTGCATGAAACAGTGTACACGTGCAATTAGTGTACACATGCTGGCCGAATGATCAATCACGGGCCGTGCTATTGATAAACAGATGTCAGTTAGCAGTGTATGGGACTTTTTACTGACACTTCTTACAAACCGCAGAGCACGATGCCGACTTATGCAGAGAAATTTATGTGGTTTTGAGGAAATGGACTGAAAGTAACACGCCGACATAGGCGAAATGGCGGCTTACAAAGGCCGACTTAGAAATGAAAATGTCAATGGAAATGCATTAGAGACAATCGGGACTTTTGTCAGACAGCCGATTCAAGCGATATGATGGTTTATACAATGTCGGTTTAGTCGGAGTTTACTGTAGATGTTTGGGGAATTTTTTTTGGCAACATTTTGATATCCTGTTGGCTACCAAAGACTGTGTAAATCTTCCAAGACTAGACAATGGTTTATGAAAAATGATGCAGTTGGAAAAGTTGCAAATCAAAAGATTATGAGAGTAGAAATTGCGATGTGACAATGCCTGAAACGAATGCCAGGGAATATCGATCACACAGTGCCTGTATGCATGGGAACACGCGACTATTTGAATGGCCCGCGCTTTGTTCAGGCACTGTATTTGATAGGGGCCAATTACGGGCATGTGTGTTTGGATACACTTCATGCTTTACAATTTCTCCTTGTGTAATTTTTGCCTACTGCATCATTTTTCATAAAACGTTGTCAATCTTAGACAATTCACATTCTTTAGTAGCAAAAGGGGCATCCAAATGTAGTTAACAACATTCCCTGAAGTCTATATAAATCACGTTATCATAAGACGCTCAGACTCAAAATTATGACCACTTCAATGAATGTACCCTTTCTTTTTAAGTGGTGTTTATATCGTCAATTGATTAACAATCCCAACTTACCATCATCGGCAAACATTCTGGCTAACATACTTTCAGGCTCCCTGCCTTTCAGTGTACTCCTGTCAATGAATGATAAAAAAAACAAGGCAGCTGCAGCAGTGTATGCTAATTGGGAAAATATTTGTAGTTAATCCTTGAATATTTAGATTCTCTACATTACAAAACTTGAATGCTAAATGAAACGCAGATACTGTCAAGTCAAGCAATTCAGCGCTCTTATTTTCTGAAAAGCATGACTTTGTACTTTTTGGTCCATTAATACTCAATAGTAATGAAATAAGAACAAAATCTAAAGGAACCATATTGCAAGAATAGTCTGAAGCAACTCTATCCTGTGGGAACCTCACAGACTCTGATTTCAAATTACAGTCTACAACAGGTACTGTGGATATCCCCTAAAATATGATGTTTGGTTGTCCACGAGGGGACTACTTACCTGTTGGACATATAATTGCATATTTCTATAGCTATGTAAATAACCACTTAAGTAAAGATTTGCTATAGCATGCCACAGTGCTCTCCTGTGACACAGTCAGAGCCTATGTCATAATCATTGTCTTTTTTGTATCTAAAGTAAATAACAAATGACGAGCCGACAGGAAAGTGGGCAGGATGGTCCAACAGGTCGGCCTTAGTACCGGTAGTCACCACATCGACAACCAAACACCATAGTTTTGGGGGTAATTGTCCACTTTTCCCCTACTTACCGGTTGGATCTACATGTATAATTGCATAGACTGGCATTGAGATTGGTGTTGGGAGTGGGCTGCAATTCAGTCACACACCGCGTTCCCACTTGAATTGGGAAAAGGTGGACCAAGATCCGACATTTTGGTGTGATCGTTATCTTACCGCAACGAAACCGCAAGTCGCATTCCCACTAATATGCTTGATCCACCTTTTCGTATGGAAATGTCGAGTCCGAAAGGTCACTGAGTTCGGAATGGACCGATCCAGTAAGCTCCACCCAGTGCGCACGTGGGCAAATTAACCGTGCTCCTCTCCAATGCCACGCTGTATTTTCCTTCCGCGCGCATCATATGTGCGTGCACGCATGTCAGACTTTAGTGCACGCACGTCAGACATAGATCACGGCTGTGATTGGTCAGAACAACATGGGGCGGTGCTTAATGGATCGGTCCATTACGCGCGCTCTGTGGGAGTGCCAGTGTTGCATGCTAGGCCAGGATGGGTCAGTTTTCAAACAGCATTATTAGTATCAGAATTCACTGACAAAAATTACGCAAATTCACTGACAATGTAAATAACAGATCCGTAGAGGATCCGTGCATGCATAAATTAACTGGTAAAATCGAATCGAATGCATAAATTAACTGGAAACCAATGCATCGATAAGGGATTTCCTGGTTCTGGAGCTTCTCATTGGTTAGAAATGGTCACATGATGTACTACCACATCATTTTCCATTTTTCTATAATCAATACTGCAGATTTGTCACCTCCATACGCACCGCGTTATCGGCACTATTCTCATCACATACTCGTAACCTTTTCTATGATTTTGTGCTAAAGTGAAGTGTTTTGGTGAGTGCGGACTCAGAGTCATTTGTGGATGGAAAAATAAGTAAAACTTCAGGAATGAAATAGGTTTAGAAAATGGGCGAATTCGCAACGAAAACTGTAAAAGACCTAGTGTAGTTTTAGGATATACCACGTGCGCTTCATGCATGCGATATGCATGCATCGTGCATGTACGGTGCTAGCCCCTAGTTCAGCCGTTGTTCATTGTGCATGTTGTGGGCACGTGTGGTCTAGCGGTGGAGCACAGGATTCGTGATCGTGAGGTTGTGGGTTCGAGCCCCACCCTGGCCATGCGTGTTGTGCCCTTGAGTAAGGCGCTTTACTTCAATTACTTCTCTCAACCCAGGTGTTAAATGGGTACCGGCATTGTTCAATACTGGGAAGGTAACAGACTTGCTGTGGAGGAGGTGTGGTGATCCCCCAACAGCAGCACATGAGTCTGGCCCAATCGCTAATGAAAGATAGATGGGCACTCCGTTCCTGTGAATACAGGTTCGTCCCCCTTTACCTTTACCTTTGTGTACGTTGGAAATTTTCACATGAGCTACACGCCCGAAACGTGTTTCTTCGTTCATAAAACCGCAACATTTTTGCGCCACTCGTGCACCGGGCTGATGTTGACAGGTCAAATTGCCGGATCAGATCCACCTTTTGCATTCCCATCTAATCGTGATCCGCCAATTGCCGGATCTGATCCACCAATTGGGGGATCTGTATCCTGGTCCAGAGGTGGATCAGAAAAGGTGGATCTGATCCTGATCCACCTTATAATGGTTAGCGTTCCCACTACACACAGTTGCCGGATCTGATCTACCAATTGGGGGATCTGATCCGGCAATTTGGCAAAAGGTGGATCAGATCCCCCAATTGGTGGATCAAGTGGGAACGGGGTCACAGAAGGATACACTAATAAGGAATCCCCTCATGGACTACTCATAGGCACATTCATAAACTCACTTGAGCCAAAACCCACCCTTCTGTTGAGTTGGTGGGACAACAGTGGTGAATCACAGAAGGATACACAAATAAGGAATCCCCTCATGGACTACTCATAGGCACATTCGTAAACTCACTTGAGCCAAAACCCACCCTTCTGTTGAGTTCAGTGGTGAATCACAGAAGGATACACAAATAAGGAATCCCCTCATAGACTACTCATAGGCACATTTATAAACTCCTGAGGGGCCATTCAAAATTTTCGAACATATTGCATTGTTTTGAAATTGAGTATCCTCACGGTCACATCAACGTCAATCCTGTTGTGTCAATTAACGTATAATTTTAACTACTAAAGTGCAAAATATCATGTGAAGAAATATAAAAAATAGCCGATTTAATTGTACTTGTGGCCTTTTTATGGTAACAAATTATCTGTCAGCACGCCAAAGCTCTGAAATAGCCAATACACGGTGGGAAAATTTGTAACCACATTCCAAGGTTGTGACACTGGTCAATAAGTTTTCATGTACACTCTTTGAATCATGATATGATGCGATCACCTCAGCAAGCCATATGACCGCTACATATTATGACATCATACTGCAGTTGTGTGGACGTGTAGCGTGCAGTCGACATCGTTTTACTCAAATAACAGGTAAGAATTTTGCCATCAAAATTCATAGTTATTGTTATGATGTTGCTCAGACAAACCTGAAGTTTATTCGCAGCACTTTACTTATTAATTGCAACCAATTTCTCCCCAAAACGATAAACAAATATTGACACATCACTGGGGTCGGGGACACTGGCATGCATGGTCACTGATAATACCGACATCGTACGTGCAGGAACCAGCAACTGAACATGTAGACCAAGATGTCGACCGCATGCATCCACTCGGAACAGTGTATTGCTTAGCTCTACAAAAACGGGTTCAATGGAAACAGTTTTGAGAAAAATCCTGAGAAATAATCACCACTGTTGTTTTGAACTATATAGTATATGGATGTGTGACTTAAACTTTCCAAGAAGTAGTAGGAGGGGGAGGGTACCAGACTTTACCCTCCCAATAGATCTCACTCTCTCCCAAATATATATATCCCTCTCTCCAAATATAGATCCCCCTCCCCCAATATCTCAGTCTCGGAATCAGGCCAGGCTCTTTCTATCTCGTAATTAAATGGATAGAGAGGTTTTTTATGATTAACAACTTTATTTAAAAAAAAATCAATCATTTTTAATAAATGAACCTCGAGCTATCTGATAAAACAGATCAATGCGATCACCATATAATCATCGAAAATGGATTTTTAATTTGTGAAACGTGCGGTGAAATAGTCTCACGTTACTTTGATTTTTCAGCAGAAAATGCGCAAAAAGATCGTATCAATTGGTCTATTTTAAAGAGGAATCAAAAGAAAAACCTCGAGAAACTGATTTTTTTTTGTCTCCAGAGCAAGACTCAGAAGACGTCCAAGAAACGATCAATAAATATAAGAAGCTCGTTAATTACAAAACATTGAGGGGAAACGGATGCGTTAAACGATCATTAATAGCCGCGTGTTTTCATCATGTCGTTCGATTAGACAAAGAACGAGTCAGAGATTTATTTAAAGTGACTCAAAATCAATTTAATAAAGCACTAAAAAGATACGATGACCACTACAATAAAGGCGGGTCCGAGGGTGACGCCCTAAGAGGTGATATAGAGGTATAACTCGGTGGATCGCCTTCATAATGTTTATTTACCGAGAATTTGAACTTGTAAGTTTTTTTATAAGAGATTTTTTTTCCTTTGCCAGCCGTTCGTCTACCTGTTTTTTTAACTTCTTTTTCAAAGTATGAATCGTTTTTAAAGCTTTGTGCTGGTCTTTGCTCTAATTTTTTGCTTAAGCTCGTTAAATTTTGCGAGCTCGTTCGTAATCAATATAAACTCTTCGTTCGATATATCTCCGTCGTTGATGGCTTGAGACACGTATTCTTCAATCGTGTTAAGTTTGGAGTCCGCTAATATTTTAATCTGGTCGTGCTTTTTCAGCTTGGCGGATAATCGCTTAGACGCGATTCTAAGCATAATATCTACACCAAAAGCACCTATAAACGTTCCTTCTAACACCACTCCAACTGGGGCTGATATAACACCCAAGAGAGCGGGAATACCAACAGCTGCCGCTATAGCCCCCAATCCTTCTAATCCTAGCTCTATGTAATTAAGAGTGTCGATCATTCTCTTTAGTTTTTGATAAGTGCGCTCTTGGTGGTCTCTCTCTTTCAAGATTAAAGATCGAATCTCTTCGATCTTTTTAAGTCTGTACACTTTTGTTTCTTCGTTACTATTTAATCGGTGTACATCTCCAGAAATATCGGGGTATAACGCCTTATCATCTTAATACTCATGTTTTTCATATAAAAAGATTTTAAAATTAAAATATCTCCAACTCTATCATTATACTCACACCCTTGTTGTTGATGATCTGTCCTTTTTCACCTATGATTGCAAATGTCAGTTTGACGATTATACCGTTTTTAAGTTTTTTGAAATCCTAGACTCTATCAGGCTCGGGTTCGCGCGTACCCAC